AGGGAAGTGGGGGAGCATGCAGAGGAGCAGAGGGCGGGGGAAACCGTCATATACCCCAAGAGGGGGAGGGTGGAGGAGGAATCGTTGTCGCAGGAGGAGGAGGAGCAGGAAGAGGAGGATGATGGGGAAGAGGTGGACTAGGGCGAGGATGAGATGGAGGAGGCGGAGGGAGAGTCGGGTACCTCGGGGTCCTCTTGAGGCCTCGTATGGGGTCTTTTGGGGGCCTCTTCGAGGCCTCTTGGGGCCGTCCGGCAGCCGTCTGGGCGACTGTTGAAGCGCTTTTGGGAGCTTCAGGGGCGCTCTTGGAACCATCCCGGAGGACATCGATCAAACAGGGGGCGACTTCAGTCGACCTCCCCCACCCACTTCGGGAGCACCGAACATCGCCCCCTGGACCCCTCTTGGGGCGCTCTTGGAGCGCTTGTGGGCGCTCTTTGGACCGTCTCGGGGCCTCTCCTGGGGCTCTCTTGGGCAATCTTGGGGCCATCTTGAGGCCTCGACTGGCCATCGGAAGCGAGAAGGCGAGAATGCACAACTCATTGATTTGCCTTGGGTTTTGGGAGGATTCTGGCTTCTCCTCAGAGGTTTCGGGGGCCTGTTGAAGCCGTCTTTGAACGTTCTTGGGGCCTCTTGGAGCATTTTTGGGGGCCATCTTGAGGCATCGCACGCCATCTGGAGCCATCTTGGAGCTCATCGGGGACTCATCAGGGGCCCTCTTGGAACCATCTTGGGCCATCTTGAACGCTCCAACGCCTCGCCGCCCCCTCCGTCCAGGTCCAGGGGAGGAGGTCGGGGGAGGGATCAAGACACCCTTTAGATAGCAAGCCATCTAGCTCACTCCCACCCGCCCTCCCAACACATCAGTAACACCCGAGCCTGAGCATGTTCAGCGGCCGTCTTTGGATGGAGAGCTACCGAGAACCACAAACGGCCCCATGTGCGCGACGATGGGGCGAGGTGCGCCAGGCACCCCTGGGGCCCGAACGTGCCAAGCACACCTGGTGCGTCAGATGCGCCACGTGCTCCGCGTGCGCCAGGTGTGCCGATACTCCAGCCGCGCCAGGTGCTCCATGTTCGGGGCACGTGCAGAGTGTGTCAGGTGCGCCTGCGCACGTGACAGCACACATCGGGTAACATGTCGGCCCCCACCATCCATGTCGAAAGCCAACATCCATCATTGTGTCTGGTCGGCCTGCGCACAGGAGGTCATACTCCACCACCCCCACCGTCCCTGTCGAAAACCACTTGGCAGTGATCGCGGGGTGGTCGCGCATGATCCAGATTTAGCCGCGAGGTGGATTTGTTTTTGCTAGGGGTGGTGACCCTACGCACAGCAGGCAATCTGCTGACGCCCCCGCCGTCCCTGTCAAACAAACGCTACACCATGCTCGCGGGCCTCACGAACATGACTCACGGCTTGGCCCAAAAGTGTATGTTGCATTGTTGTTTGACAGGGATATTGGAGGGGGGCGCATCGGGTTGGCCGCGCATGCTCCACATATGGAGGCAGAGTGCGTCTTGCACGGTTTTTTGACAGGGATGGTGGGGGGGTCCGCATGGTTCCTGGTTGGCTCCTGGTCGCCTGGGGGAGGGGGTGTATGTTTATAGGGCACATTGATAAGCCCCTCCCCGCAGTAGAAGAGGGGGGTTGGAAGAGGAGCCTCCCTAGACCACCTACGCCCAGAGGGCTGGTGGGACTAACCTGACCAGACAGCAGAGGAGCGTTCTGAGACGCCTCAGCGTGCACAAAGCACGGTGGCGGATCTTGCTTGTGAAGTTGCTGCAGACGATCTTCCAAGGGCGCGCGGCTATCTGGATGAAGGGGCTTCTCAACCTTCAGTTTCGGACCATTCCCTTCCTTGCCGACTACGTCCTCCTTGTGTTCGGCATAGGTATTACCATCCTCATGCAGTCCAGCAGCGTGACAACTTCTACACTGACCCCGCTGGTCGGAATCGGCCTCATAAGGCTGGAGAAGATGTACCCTTACACTGTAGGTGCAAATATTGGCACTACCGTTACTGGCATCCTGTCGGCCTTGTCAGGGTCCAACGTGGCCACTGGCATGACAGTGGCCATGGCTCACTTGTTCTTCAACATCATTGGAACGGTCGTGTGGTTTCCCATACCCTGTATGCGGGCCGTTCCAATCGCCATGGCCAAGGCACTCGGCAACGTGGCAGCTGATTGGCGATGGTTTCCAGTCGCTTACATATTTATAGTCTTCGCTGTGATACCAGGAGCGCTGTTGGGGCTTTCCTTACTGCACTGGGCGGCGCTCGTTTTCGTCGGCCTGCCCTGCATCCTGTTGATCATCGCTGCCTCCTGCGTCTTCGCGTGCCGGGCCCACACGCCTCACCTTCTGCCGGGGGTTCTCAAGAAAGATTCCTGTCGCTTCGCGGGGTGCACGCCTGGACCACGCACAGTCCAATCGTTGTGGGGACTCCGGAGAGCCTCCTGGGGGCCTCCTGCAGGCTTCTTGGGGAACTGTAGGTGCCTCTCTGGGGCCTCTTGGGGGCGTCTTGGGCCGTCTGGGGGTCCTCTTGCGCCGTCTGGCCCCTTCGCAGGCCGTCCTGGGGGCCCCTCGGGGCCGCCTCGGGGCTCTCCTGGGGTCGTCCTGGGCAGCCTGGAGGGCTTACGCCGCCCCGGGGGGCCAAGTTGCTGGGCCAGCAGCAAGCGACGGAGCGCGCAGGGTTCCGAAAACTGTACTTTCGCTTTCGCCTTCTTGGGCCCTTTTGCGGGGGTCTCTTGGGGTGCCTCTTGGGGCCTCTTGGAAGCCTTGTGGGGGCCTTGGAGGCTCTTAGGGGGCCCTCGGGGCTTGTTGGGGGCTCTTGGGTGGTCTCTGTGACGATCGTGCCCTCAGGGCACCTTCGCTCTCTTCTCCTCTTGGGGCTCTCTTGGCGGCCTCGAGGGCCGTCTTGGGGCGATGTTGGGGGCCTCGTGGGCCGTCGTGGATGCTGCGCGGACCCCAAAAACGACGGCGCGAACAACAATACGGTACGCCTCCCCACGGAATTGGGACAATGTCTGCCTCTTAGTGTCGTCTCCGTGGTCCTCTTGGAGCCTCTTGGGGTGGTTTGGGGGCATCTTTGCTTGTCTTGAGGCCGTCTGAGAGCAAAGGTGGGCCATTCTGGGACCATCTGCAGCAGTCCTGCGCCCATGCTGGCCTGTCCCAAAACGGTCTGGGAGCTTTGCCGGGCCAGGTTGGAAGGCAGCACCTTTGGCCCGACTTCCCTCCCCCCTCGGAAACGGCCAGACTGGTCTCCCAGGGGAAGACGGTGGGGAGGGGCAGCGATTTCACACGCCGAGGAACGTCAATGGGTCGAGGGGCAGCTACAGTAGGCACGTCAAAAAAGAAACCAGCGTGCCAGCAGGTGCCACCGGAGGCTTCGTATTCCCCCAGAGGCCTTGGGGGCGCACAGAAGCCCTGGGCCACCGCACGAAGCTCAGATCTCGACGAAGGATGCACCCCAAAATCCCTTACGGCACGATCTCTTGTCGTGAGTGTCGGCTCTATACCTCACACGCCGAGGAGCCCCAAGGCGCCAGCGAATTACCGATGGATGCCGCCCAGTGCGCGGATCCACGACGGGCCCGCCGCGGTCGCGGAGAAGGAGGGCCCCGCGGTGGCGCCCGGCAGCGCCGACGTCCGGGGCACAGGGCAGTGGCAGCTGGCACCGGCCGCCTACGGCGTCGGCTGGTACCCAGAGGAGAAAGGACGTGTCGCCGCGCCGTGTGTTCCGACGCGCGGTGCGTCTCAGGGGGGTCGCCTCGGCCACCAGGGCAGCCTCCGCCTCAGACGCAGAGTGCGCCGTGGGTTGGTGGTGGTGCGGCTTCGTCTGTTTGGGCGCGGCTAGGACAAATGGCGCGGCGACATATACGTACGGTAGGTTCGTATCGTGTCGACTGGCGGCGACCACGCCGCCAGCATTCGTCGTTGAACGCCGCTGGCAAGCCAGAATCGGTCTAGATTGAACGATCTGGCATTTCGGAAACGGCCAGTCGATCAAGGTTGAACGATCCCAGCGATGTCAGAAACCGACGTTGGGATTTGCCGCCGTACGTTTTGTTCGCGTCATGAGGGCTCTGGACTGCAGCCGCGGTCATGGCCAGCACAGGGTCACACAGCCCCGTTGGGTCACGGGGCCACCACGGGGTCACATCAGCACCGTGAGGCTCCTGGGGGCCCTTGAGAGGGGTCACGCAGCATGCCCGCCAGCATGGTGTGTGACTGCCGAAAGTTGGCAACGCTACAAATGGACGCGGCCATCTTCGCAGCGCCTCGCAATTGCGGATGAGAGCGAGGGGGCGGGCGCCTGGTGGGTCGCGGGTGAGCCGCGGGTGGGTCGCGGGGGGGGTCGCGGGGGGGTCGTGGAGGGGTCCTGGGGTAGACGACGGCAGCAGTAAGTACAACCAACAGCGACAAGCATAATTTGGGCCTCTGGAATCCCGCTTCAACCCCTGGGATAGTGTAAGATCGTTCGGCCCCCTCACGCTGACCGATACTGCTACCCTTGTCTCTTTTCGCTTCAGTGGGGGCATCCATGGAAACCCTCGCCGCCACTGCTCGATTCGCCTCAGAAGTCTGGTCAGAACGCCGCACTCCGGGAGAGGTCTGGGGAGTACGATCGAAATCCATAGTAAGGATCAATCGCTTCATCCAGGCTAGCTTGGCATTCCTGCCCCTCATTTTCCTCACCGTTGGAGCCGCTATGTTTCATGGAGATTTCGTATCACAGTGGACTGTCTCACTTCAGGCGTACATAGAGTATTTACTTTGGAAAAAATCGCTGGTTGGTCTAGCGGTACAAATTTAAGTGTTTCGCCTTGGCCAGCCCCGCGGTACAAATTTAAGTGTGTTTCCTTGCCGTTTTGCAGGGTGTTTCAATGGAGTTGCAGTCTTGCGGTGCCAACAAAAACCGGGCTAGCTTGGCATTCTCTGCCTCTTCGGCCCAACCTGAGCCAGAATTGATTTCCTAGGAGCTCTAAGTGACAAATGGGCAAGTAAACGGGACTTCCAAGGGTCTTGCATCCTTACCGTTTATCCTTACGACGGGTTTTGACAGTGGCGGCAGTTCCCCAGGTACGTCCTGCTGGCATTGGCAGTCGCGCTTCCGAATGCGAAGTGGGCCGACATGAAGTACGCGGAATTTGACAGCCGGGAGCACATTGGCATGGGCTACTCGACCGCATGCTCGGTGATGTTCATGGACCGGACAAACGTAAACATGGGCTAAGGTGCGTGGATTAACGACGGATCCCGCTTCGATATCACATCGGGTCGCCAAATCAGGCGGCGTTAGCGCCATGTTTCGGGAGGCTACGTTCCCCGATCTGTGGGTCTGGCGCTCACGCGCCAGATCCACAGATCCCTAATCTATGTTAGCGTGTGCTCCCAAGGAGGACGTGGATTGGGCCCTGGAGCCATCTACTGGAGATGCCCTTGCCAGGCATCTCGAAGATTGCACGGCAGACCTCGAGGAGCAATGCAGCGCCAGCGGCGGACGATTGTCCGCGACGCCCGGCGGCAACAGCGTGTACGAGAATTCTTGGAAGGGCTGCAGCAACGCGACGACTGGACAGTGGGAGGATCGGGCCGAACGATAGGGGGGAAAGGGAAAGGGGGGCTACGAAATCTGCTGTGTGCAGCTGGTTTCCGCCCCGCCGCCTGGCCCATTCCTGGATACATGGGCGCCTCCCGGCGCCAGGAGTCGCCAGGCTAAACCAGCAATGAGCTGCTTCTCTACGCACCCTTTGCTATCCTACCCTTCCGTCCCCGCCGAGAGGAGAAATGCTTGACCATTACCGGCTGCGGGGGCCTCCACGAGGAGCAGTGCGCGAACGTCTCTCGGGCGGTCGAGCGGCCCTACAGCATCACCTACGGCAGCGGCGCGAAGTGGTCCAAAGCGGCGGGGGGCAGCCCCTATTGCATCCCGGTCGGGTCGTTGTGCGAAGACGTCGACCGCGTCACCGCGGCGGGCGTCCTAGGCGCGGTGGGCGCCGCGCTGGCAGGCCTGGGGCTGCTGGCGATCCTCTCCTACTGCTTCCTCGGCGGGGGCGGGAGCTCCAGAAGGAGAGCGCTGGTGGCAGCGGGGCTGGCCCTGTCCGCGGCGTGGGCCGCCCTCCTCGCCTCCTGGCTGCTCTTCCACCACGCGCTGGGGCACTCTCGGCCTCCCAAATTGGGTCCAAGCCGATGGGGTCGGAGGATCGCGCCGCACCGCCGATGCATTGCCCACGCAGTTCGATGTGGAGCCCGACTTTCTCCACGCTGGCGTCGCCGATGCGTCGTCGACGTCGCCGATGCATCGGCGATGCGGCGCGATCTTGCGACCCCATCTCCTCAGACTCCGTTTGCGAGGCCTCTAGGCACGTGACCACCTGCTACGTGCAGGCCGACCACAACAACGGCATCGTCGCCGCCACCGGGCCCCTGGGGGACATCGTCAACCCAGGTGGGAGCTACAGCTACTACTGCGTGGTCGGGGCCTGGGCGCTGCTCACGCCGGTCATGCTCGCAGCCTGGGCGCGCGCCGCCGCAGAGCTCCGAGGGGGCGGCCACGCAGGGCCCAACGGCGCGACCGAGGCCGCCGCCGCCGCGGCCGCCGCCGCTCCGAAGGGCCAGGACGCGGAGGCTGCCGCGGGCGCCCAGGCTCAGGAGGGAAAACTCGGCACAAGCAGCAGCACATTCCGAAATTCGTAAATCTCGTTCGTCGGCGGCAAGGCGGAGGCGGTCCGCACCAGCGTGTGGCGATTCGGGCAACCGAATGGCAACAAAAAAAATAATCGTGAGACCATGTGGGAACATATTGCGAAACGGAGGGGGGGAGAAAATCCCGGGAGATCAGCAAACAGTTTGCAGCTATGGAGGGCAATTGGGAAATCGAGGAAATAAATTTGAAGATTCTTCACCCTGAAATTTGCGTCGACTTGCAGTCGGACTTATGATTCAACATCTTCCTCCCGAAAATTGACCCTGCATGCCTTGACACTGTTTTTTGAAAGTTGGCCCAGTTTCTTGAGTGCGTTCACCTCACCAGCGTAAACAACAGACGTTGGCCAAGGCTTGTCTTAATAAACTCGCGGGAAACTGGCCCACATGTCTTCACTGATATTTGTATGGATCATATGTCGCCGCGCCGTTTGTTCCGACGTGCGGCCTTGCATCTTGGGGAGGGTTCCGCGGGCACGAGGGCAAACACCGCCTCAGGTGCGAAGGTTTTTCTGTGGGGTTTGCCACGGTGCCGGCATCGTCTGGTTCGGGCGCAGAGTTTGTCGTGGGGCGCGGGGCGCAGGGTTTGTCCTGGGGTTGCCGTGGTGTCGGCGTTGTCCACTTGGGCGGGTGGAGAACGAGCGGCGCGGCGACATAGTTTAGCTTGCGCGTGTGTGCCCCCCATGGGGGCCCCCCTGCAGGCGGGCTTCTGCGCGCCCACGGGCCCTTCGATCGAGGCGGCCCCCTGCGGCGCGCTGGGGTCGCCCGGCGCGAACGGCTCGCACGCCGGGGCCATCGGCCCAGACCAGGTGCATGTGCAGGTCCACCAGAGAAGAGAGAGCCACCACCATGAGGTGCTCGTGCTGGGGACCTTCCTGGGGCCCACCCATCGGATCGGTTTACTCTGGTGCGGCTCCTGTTCGACTCAGGTTCGACTCAGATTCGACTCAGGCTCGACTGAGGGTCGACTCAGGTTCGACTCAGGTTCGACGGATTTCCGACGCAGCATCGACGCACGGGTGGAGCGAGTGTTTCCAGGAAGGTCCCCAGCCACCACCAGCCAAGAAGATTGGCCCCTTGCCTCGGAGAAGACAAAACGGGACAAGTGTAAACCGTCCGAGCTCCGCGCGGATTTCTTGGATTGACGTCGGACCACCCTCCCTGCCGCACGGAGCGCGCCAGAGGCGGCGCTGGAGGCGCCGCCTGAGGGGCCCATCGCCGATCCAAGGAACCCGCGTGGACCTCCAACAGTTTGTATCTTTACGCTGCTCCTTGTTCATCTATGCTCCCCGAGTTGGTGGCACCTGGGATCGGAGCTCTGGTAGTGGTGGCGGCTCTTTACGCTCTCATGGCAGGTGGGCGCGGACCGGCACAACGCCTCGGGCGTGGGGCTATCGGGGCCGTCGAAGATGGGGGTGATGATGAGAGGGGGGGGGATGCAGTCGGCCCTGGTGAGTAGCTCGACCCTGCCAAATCGAGGTGTCCTGTGTTTCGCGACCCATGCCTTCTGTATTCCTATGGCAACGTGGCCCTCGGAAGGGTCTTGTGTCCTCTCGCGTGTCCTCTCCAATCAACCCCGACTGTATCACGGCCAGGGCCATGATATCTCCTTAATTCCGAAGGCGACAACCCACCCACACCCCCAGTCCCGACGCCCACCCCAGAACTGGGGCTTCGGGGGTTCGGGACCGGGGTGTGGGGGGGGGCGTTTTCTTGATGTTTGGATTCCGAAAAACCAGCCCCACCTCCAGTCCCGACCCCGTGGATCGCGGGTTCGGGGATGGGGTCGGGGCTGGGGGTGGGGGTGGGTTTTCGCCTTGCCATCGATTTCATGACACCTGCCTTTGTTTCAATACATCCCTGGGCCGCGGACATACCTCGGGCCATGGTTTGCGAGCCCCCCTCTTGGACGCCCCCCTCTTGGACGCCCCCGAGGCCAGAGCCGGAACAGCCGCTGGGGGCGCCTGACGCCCTTGGCGTGCTGTTCGCGCCGTCTTCTGGCGCGGGCAGCCCGCCGGGCGACGCGGCAGGGGCTGACGCGGGCCGGGGGGTCGATCGTAGGACGATCCACTGCCTGTGCAACGGCGTGCCGATCTGCGTCCCGCGCACGCGCTGAGCTGTGGCCGCCTCGGCGGCCGTGGCTAGCCATCGTCCCCGCGGCCCCCCAGCCCAGTCTTAGAGGCCGTCCCACCCAGTTGGAGCTCGTTGTGCCGAGGTGGGGGGCGCTGCTTAGGGACACTGTTTCACCTGCTTCTCGAGATCCGCGGTGCGGGAGCCGGATCCACCGGCTCCTCAGGCCCAAAGTTCGTTGCTTGTGGCAGCACGGTGCGCCGTCGCCCGTGGCGGGCCGCGCCGCTTGGCCCACGGCGCCCCTGCAGACAATCGGAGCTGGCCGATGCTGGTGAGCGGACGTAGTTTGCATCCGCGAGGCTCCGCCGTCCATGTACATCGCGCGGTGAACGGGTGACGCACGCTGGCTCCAGCATGGCCGTCGAGGGGACGGGAGGTGCAGGCGGGCGCCATCACGAGCACAGCACTTGCTGCACCCAGCTGGCAGCAGACCCTGAGCAGCACAGTCAAAGAGCGCAGCAGAGCGCAGTATAGTGCAGTGTGCGGTCAGGAACTTCAGCTTCGCGTGTCCCTCCGCCGATTCTGGCCCACAATGCTACGGCGCATCGTGCTATCCACGTCCCCATTCTCAAGCGTCAACGTCCCGAGTGGTTTCCAGCCCCACGCCCCGCGGAGCGGAGCGACACGCCATCCGCTTGCCAGCGTAGCCTGTCGCCGGGGCTGCCGCCGCGACACGCTGTCCAACAGTTCCAGACCGTACACCGCAGTGCACATAGGGGGGACCATACGGGAGACCATGCGAGAGATCATACGGGAGGCCGTACGGGAGGCCATACAGGAGACTAGGCTATACGGGGGACCATACGGGAGGCCCCACGGGATACCACACGGGCGACCATGCAAGAGACCACGGGCCACGAGCCACCGATTCGGGATCCGCAGGGGCTCGCGCGTGCTTCGGAACATTACACTGGGCTTTGACAAACAAGATGTTCAGGGAGAGACATGTTTCATTTGAATTCCTGTCGTCTCGCGAACGTTGGCCCCACATCTACGTTTTGCCAGAGCGATTTTGAGTGGCATCGTGCGTTGGTTTTTTACATTGGCACCTTTAGTTGGCCGATGAGGCGATTTGCGCGTTTTGAACGTCGACGGGTGGACCCCTCGAATGATACCAGTGCTGCAGATAGCGCTAGATCTCTGAAGTGGCAGACATCTTGACAGTTCTGCATTCACCGCCTACGTGCGAATTGCAAGCTGGGCGTAGTTCCTGCCTCTAGTAATTGTTTGACGCATCCAGGGCGCATGCGGAATAGTCGCTCCACCAGAGACATATCAAGTTGAGCGGTTGCGATCAAGAATCAACCGATGCAAAATGTGATGTGCACAATCGTCAAACTCTCTTGCATATCGGACATTATCGCCGTAAGGATCTCTGGGCCCAGGGGCGGCCCATGTCTTCAGAATCCCCCGGCCCCCCTGGTGCCCAATGTGACCTAAGGGTCCATTACCTATTTCGAAGGTTTTGTTGGGGGGGGGGCAGGTCAACTTCCAGACGATCACGAGATGGTTGACGAGGACGCTTCGAGGCCGCAATGAAGGCCTGGGAGGGCCCGGGTCGCCCTGCGAAGATTCCAGGACAGCCCTTGGGGACCACAAGCTGCCGCAGGAGACGGCCCGCGAAGCCTTCCGAGAGGCACGACGCACCCAACACTGTCCCCAAACGCAGTCTTCGGTGCGTTTCTGTGCCGAGTGCTTCATTTTCAAATTATGATGTCTTGCGCATTGCAGGGTGCCCCAGACCAGGCCAACGACGCCCCACTGGGGGCTTCTTGGGTGGCCTATGAGGACCTCTGGGGGGCGTCCTGGGGGCCGACTGGCTGTCTCGCGGGCCCTGTGGGGTGGAGGGCACCACATGACAGTTCGAGGTTCCCCTCTTGGGCCTCTCTCGATGGCCTCTTGAGGGCCTTGGGGGCCCTCTGGAGGCCCTCTGGAGGGGCGCCTGGGGGGGGCTTTCTTGGTTGTCTTGGACGCTTCGAAGATTCGAACGGCTAGCGTGCCAAAGTTATGTTGGCTGCTTGGGATTGGCCCTGGGGCGTCCAATATGCCCCGAGACAGCCCCAAAGTACGTGTGCCCTTGCTAGCAGATTGGAGCCCGAACCACGCTCCTGAGGCATCTGTTGAAGTTACGCCTGGAGGCTCGAGTTTGACAACGGTCAGGCCTTCGCGCGGTCACCCTCTCGCCTCCTCCTCCTCCGCCTCGTTGACGATGGGCTCCAAGAGGAGTTGAACTTGAGCCTGCACCAGCAGAGCAGAGCTGGGAACTGTTTGGCCACGGAGGACGCGCTCTTGATCTCAGACTCCTTGTGTGTTGCGCCTCTTCCGCCCGCCCTCCGCAAAGTGTCCTTCCCCTCTCCCCCCGCCGCGCTCGCGACCGCCCAGGGCTGGTTCCCCACGCTCGCCCACACGCTCCTCCTGGCAACCGCGAGCGTTGCTGCCAGTGCAGATGGCGTGAAGGCCCCCCCCCGCCTTTTAGCTTTCCGCCGGCAAGGTCGAAACTCTGAGATCTCGGTGTTGCAATGTTTCACGCTGCGCGACCCCGCCTGGTTTCGGACCATGGGACAAATCCGGCTCGCCTTATGTTGCAGAAGGATCAGTTCCAGGGCTCCTGTCGAGGTTTCGACGATGTCGCAGTTGTCTTCGCAGTGTCGGAACTCAGGAAACGTTAGGCAGGATGTGGCATGACCCCGCTCCTTCCAACGCGATGGCAGCGGTAATGGGAGGAGCGTCGGACGGGGCTAGGACGAGGATAAATTTGCTCCAGAGCGTTCCGTGACGCTCTGAGAGCGTTCCGGATCGCTCTGGGAAGGGCAAGGCGCCCGCGACATCCTCCAAAGCCGCCGGATCGCAGAGATTCTCGATGTATCCGTTTTGGGTTTTTCTTCGTCCTGGCTTCGTCTTAGAGAGGGGTGGGCAAAGGAAAGCGAGGGAGGCAGAGGAGAGGGGAGCTTCACCCATTCCCTCCTCCCTTTTACCGCCGCTTTCCCGCGCCGGCTGCACCGTCGCGGGGTCTGGTCTCTGCGCCCGCCTTGCATCCGGAGCCATGCCTGAGCCGCGGTCCCCGTGTACGTCCACGTCTTCGCTGGGAGTTAACAGCACGACGTGCTATCAAAACGTAAGAGGGGTACAGCCAAGACGCTCAAATAGGGACAGCTTTGGGCTCAGGAGTGGCTGTGGCTTCAGGCCGTTCCTTGAATTTCTGTCGTGGAACCTCTTTGTGGCCTAGGCCCGCCGTGACCAGAAAAAGCCCCTTCGTTCCTCATTTTGCGTTCCTTCTAATAGCGCAATGACTGTAATGGATGCGCTTGTTAATGCTCATGAGCAACACGGTTGAGACTCGGCGAACTCTCTGCAAGATCAGCCTTAGACAAGTTGGATAGTCTGTACCACTGCGCGCTGAACTTGTGAGGGGGGCCATCTCCACTCTAGATTCTTCGAGCCGCTCGAGAGCACCTCATATCGATTGGTTTGGTGAGGTGGTAAGTGAACGGCTTGGGTGTTTGAGCATATGCTGGCTCCGCTTCCCGTTTGGATTCTCAGCAGCTCCAGAATTGTCAGCCGGACTGGAGCCGCCAGCCGCGGATCCAGTTGGTGCGCCTACACATGGAGGCTAGACCGCGCATCAAGAGGGCGTGCGGCCGCCTGGCTGGTCTTTTGATGATTCGGATGGTCTACTGATATTATGTTTATTTCCATTCCTCTTTCCGTCCTCGTCCTTGCCCTTCTCTTCCCCGTCTTCTAATCCGCCTTTTTATTATCCTTCTCCTTTTTGTCGTCCTCCATATCCTTCTCCCCTCGTCCTCGCCGTCGTTGTCCTCTCCCGCGCTCTCAATATCCTAATCACCCCTTTCCTTGTCCTCGATGTCTTTGTGCTCATCCACTTCTTCCTCATCTTCATTCCTCCTTCTCATTCTCTTCATCATTATCGCCCTCTTCCTCTTCTGATGGGCGGCAGCGTCTACCCCAGGGCTGAAATGTGACACGGCTTGTTTTGATTGTTCCATCCCACGTGTGCGTTCTCATCGTCAATTCGCTCCCCTCCTCCCTTATCTCATTTCCGTCCGGTGCCTCATCCATAATAATGGGTCTAGGTACCCTTCAGGCCAATAGCGTAATTGGCAGTCCTACCCCATGCCGGCTCCTCCTCCTCCTCCCCCATCCTCCCCCGCATCCTCTCCTATCCCCTGCCCTCTCCCGGACTCCTCCCCCCCTTCCTTCCCTCCGAGCCTTCCCTTCTCCCCCCCCTAAGCCGCTCCTCCCCTCCCTCCTCGCCTCCCCCTGCCCCGACGCCAGCTCCTCGGGGGACTCTGGGCCCTCCTGCGCCGCCCCCTCTGTGAGGTGCTGGGCCCGGCGAGAAAAATAGCGGCATCGCGCGCTCGCCCGCTGGCTCGTGCCGCGCGCTGGCCGAGATCGGAACGATCGCAAGGGGTGCGAGGAGAAGGGGCAACGGCGACAGGTTTCTGGTGCTGACCCCCCCCCCCCTCCGAAGCTTGTGGCTGCCAGTAGACTCCGCGCTCCCCCAGCTCATTATGTCCGTCTCCTCCTCCTCCTCCTCATCATCATCATCAGCATCATCATCATCATCATAATCATCATCATCATCAGCATCATCATCATAATCATCATCATCAGCATCATCATCATAATCATCAGTTCATTCTGAACCGGCAGCATGTCTCCTCCCTCTCCTGTGTTAGAAAGACCGACAGCACTTTCTGTTCGCTGTTGAACAGTACTCGCTGTCGGTGTCGCCGTGGGCGGTGTCCAATGGAGAGACAAGGCGCCTGCCCAACGGCGGCAGCTGTCGGATCTGGACGACATAGGCTGTTGGGCACCGTACCAGCTATTTCCGTACCCACCTCGGGCGTCCAATCAGGAGTTGCAGGCGGGGGACCTCATCATCGCTCAGGGGCAGCTGGGCGAGTTCGTGTGGGGATGGACGCGCCACCCGCCGCTGATTCTTGTTCAGAGATTCGAGGCCTGAGATTTGCGGCCGCTTTTGCCAGTTCATCGGCGGCTTTCCAGCCTCGGGATGCTTTTTTTCCGGCGGCGGCGCCTCGCCGAAAAAGCGTTCCCCGCGGGTGCCCAGGTCGGCCGCCGGTTGAGCCGAGCCATATGCCCCGAGGACGGGAGGGCAGCCGTGGGCCACCCCTCGGTGAAGCAGCATGCGGCATGAGCGTATGTCAGGAGGGGAAAAAACCACAGACACAATTAATCGTCGATCCCCAGAAAATATGGGAAAATATGGGAAGTGGGGGGGAAGACAAAAACCCAGAAAATATGTGAAAATATTGGGAATATTTATATTCGTGTGTATTTATTTGTGTGTCCCAGGGCCCCTTCAGTATTAACTCTCGGATCTCCGTGCGGATTCTCTCGGACCTGCGGCGGGGCCCCCCCGTGCGGCGCATCCGGCGCCGCTCTTGGCCCGCTCCGCGCGCCAGGGAGGGGGGCGTTCAGCGCGGATCCAAGAGACCCGCGCGGACCTCCAGAAGGGCATGTCATGCCGGTCGTTCTTCTTCTGACCCTCTTGGTTCCATTTCGACCCCAATAATCCAATGCGATATCGATGTTGGCTTCTCCGACCCGATCCGATAGCGATGTTCCTATGATCCGATGCGGCCCGATGCTTGTGTGGCGCGCTTGTGCATCTTGGTGGAGCGGATCCGATTCGAGTTCGACTCCGTGCCGATACAGCCCGATCCGACGCCTATTCCGATTCAATTCGATTTCCTGATTCGATGCTGATTGATCCTGCCCCCACGCAGACATCCAGTGCCTTGGTAAGAATTGAAAAAAAAGCGCTATCTATGACCGTCGGCGTCTGGAGGCAGTTTTCTGGGGCCTGGGGCCATCAGGAAACGATTTTGACGAGGAGACCTGTCCCTTGGCAGTTGTCCAGAGGTCCATGGCAGCCACGAGTGGAACGAAAGTTCGGACACCAGATGTCTGGGCCCCCCACCCGCGTCTTGTCTCCTCCTCTCTCCCACGTTCTTCCCCATACCTCTGACGACCAGTCTTCTGTTCGAGGTGCTGGCCTCCAAAACTACCCCTCATCGGGCGAACAGTTGCTTTCCGATTCGAGCACGCCGAAGACTTGGCTGCTGCCCGCCTTCTCTATCGTGGCGCCACGGAGGCACACTTGCCATGCTGTAATGACA